AATTTTATTCATTTTAACATGAGTGTAAACATCACTGTACACAGGAGCCAATAAATTATTTTATATTTATGACATTTTTGACATTGAAAAAATTCTATACATTTAATTTTAAAGTTACTTTTAATTTGATGTTCATTTTCAAAAATTTTAATTAGAAGCCGGTTTTTTCTCTTTGCGCAAGGAAGCAATCCTTATACTTAAGATCCTCTCAGTTGCTTCGTTTGAATGTGGTATTGAAAAAAAAAAATTATATATTTTTCAAACTGTGGAAAAGTACCAATTTTTAAAGACTTTCTCTATATTTCATCATGGAAAGAAATAATAAGAATTTGTTAAAAAGAGTATCTAACTCTATGTCTTGTATGCAAAACTCTTTCACAATATCAGTAAATTGAGAAAAGGGAATTGTAAAGCTGAATTTATATGAGGCGAATTTTTATTGCTCAAGAAAAATTGCTCCTGTAAATGGTGATTCAAAAATCGCTTGCCTCACAGTAAAAGTCAACTTTTGCAGGCGATTATCGCCTCCCAAAACATCGCCTCATCTAAAGGCAGTTTAAGTTATAGGCAAAAGCCATTCGAATATTCAAATTTGCTGTTATTATAGTGAAAGATATTCTCGAGATAACTAACAACACTCGACAAAAAAGTCAGCCTTCGTTTTAAATAATTTAATCTCCATCATATTATCGCACTCGTACGATACGACCCACAGTGTTTCGACTATATGGAGGCAGGTAGAAAAAATACATGGTGACAGTTGATAAAAAAAACCGGTTGGACTTAGAGAGGGAAAAGTAAAAGTCATAAATAAAAAATTTTACATTATTTACTCACCCCCTTCTTGACGAACGATACATTCCCAAAAAAATATGGGAATGCGCACGATACCGACTAATCAGTTTCGTTGCCTTTGGCAATTAACCCCGTGGAATATTCAGGTGAAGGTATTTATCATTTATTTGGTTTTTTCCTATCTTCTTACCAAAAAATTTACTTTGAAATGCAGATGCTAAAGATTATTAGTAAAAAAAGTATGAGTACCGGTACGTCAGGTCTTGAAATTAGACGAATGTTTTAGGGAATTTTATGTAGTTTTTAAATATAAAATTTTATCTTTGCGCGCGGCCTTGCAAATATATGTAATTTTTGATTTTCTTAATTCTTGATTTTCAGCTTCTTTTTGCATAATTTCGCGAAAAGAATTTTTCGAACAATAAAAAAAAATCCCACCAAATATTGGGGAAAAGCGAGTATTTACACCTAAGTCATTTTATAGTATAACCTTTGTTTTCTGAGAGTGAAAAGCAGGAAAAAAATAACCAAAATTCCATCACATTTGACGACTGGGCCCACATTTTTTGTGAGTTTTGGACGTTATAGTGATCCAATCTTCCCCATATTTAATATTTAGGTTTTTCTAATAAAAGAGAGAGCACAAACTAAATTTCATCGAAATCGGATGACATTTAATGTTTCCGCCCACAAGAGTAGAGGGCGTGGCAATTATTGCATCTTTACAAAATTTCTTAATTCTCTATTTCCAAGTAAAACTAGAGCACATGTCAAGTTTCCGTGAAATCGGTGCAGGTGTACCTTTATTTCCACCTGCCTCCATATAGTCGAAACACTGTGCGACCCAGCGATATGCCCATAAAACTATTAATATTTTTGTTGTATTACTTTTCACAGTACAGTTTAAGTAAGTTACCACTTTATGTAAAAACCTTAAGAAAATCATAAAGTATTTTGTTTCAATTGAAAATTCATTACAAATCAGTACAAATTTTGAAAAATCAGGACATTAGCGCACTGATTGAAGAAATTAATAAAATCAGTACAAGAGTTGAAAAATGAATACTGTACTGATAAAATCAGTACGTCTGGCAACCGTAACACAACTCCGTACCAAGCTGCAGTATTCTTCCACAAACACTTCCAGGGATATGTGGCAAGAAAAAGTAAATTTGTACAGAAGGTACCACGCCCTTTCTTCTTATAACCCTAATCTTCTTCCGTGAATTTAGAATGAATTTTACATACCCCAGTACCAAGTCCCAGTACTCTACCATGAACTCCTCTAGAGATATGCAGTACAAAACAGTAGCCTATTTTTCAATCCAGGTCATAAACCATCTGTGAGCAAAATTTCATTTTCAAACAGGTGGAAATTCTTAAAAACGTAGCCTATTTTCCAATCTAGGTCATAAGCTATCTGTGTGCAAACTTTCATGCAAATCGGTTCAGTAATTTCCGCGTATTAATTTAATTAAACTTTTCTAATAGGTGGCAACTCCTAAAATATTGGCCTATTTTCCAACGTAGGTCATAAGCTATCTCTTTGCCAAATTTCATGCAAATCTGTTTTGTCGTTTCCGCGTATTAATTTAATTAAGCCTTTTTAACAGCGGCAACTCTTCCAAAAACTTAGCCTATTTTCCACTGTAGGTCATAAGCTATATGCTTGCAAAATTTCATGCAAATCCGTTCAGACGTTTCCGCGTATTAATTTAATTAAACATTTTTAGCAGGTGGGAACTCTTAAGAAAAGTATCTCATTTTCCAACCTAGCTCATAAGCTATTTGTGTGAAAACTTCATGCAAATCAGTTCACTCATTTCCGCATATTAATTTAATTAAGCATTTCAAACAGATGGCAACTCTTAAGAAAAAGTAGCCTTTTTTCCAACCTAAGTCATAAGCTATCCGTGTGAAAAATTTCATGCAAATCCGTCCAGTCGTTTCCGCGTATTAATTTAACTAAATTTTTTTAACAGGTGGCAACTCTTAAGAAAAGTAGCCTATTTTCCAACCTAGATCATAAGCTATCTGTGTGAAAACTTCCATGCAAATCAGTTCACTCATTTCCGCAAATTAATTTAATTAAACATTTCTACCAGATGGCAACTCTTAAAAAAAGTAGCCTATTTTCCAACCTAGGTCAAAAGCTATCCGTATCCTAAATTTCATGCAAATCCGTTCAGTAGTTTCCGTGTATTAATTTAATTAAACTTTTTAACAGGTGGAAACTCTTAAGAAAAGTAGCCTATTTTCCAATCTGGGTCATAAGCTATGTGTGTGCAAATTTTCATGCAAATCCGTTCAGTCGTCCCCGCATATTAAATAAATTAAACTTTTTAGCAGGTGGAAACTCTTAAAAAAATAGCCTATTAACCAATCTGGCCCATAAGCAATCTTGGTACACAATTTCATGCAAATCCGTTCAGTCGTTTCCGCGTGATGATTTCTCACACATCCAAACATACAAACTTTCACATTTATAATAGGAAGATAAGATTAGCCAATTCCCGCTTACTTCGCGGCGCCCAGAGGAGTATTTCTATCAAAAAGCTAGCCAAAAGTACAAATTGTAAAGTACAACAAAAAGCACTGCAGATTTATTTTACTAACAGCCAAATAACCGCTACGTTATATTCCAGCCCTCCAAGCTTCTTGTGTACCTCTCACGATATATGCGCCAGTCGAAACTCAGTCGTGTGTGGTTGAGGTACGCTCCTTTCCCAAAAAGTAAATTTTCTGTGCAAATCGCCTAAGTGTTTTAATAAGTGGGATTAATAAATATGCATTTGTTGAACATTTAAAAAAAATATTCTTTCTTTTTTTTGTTTGAAAACAATTGTAAGAAAATAGTTATCTTTTGGTATAAAAATAAAAACAAAAGCGGCTATGATTATCTTCCGGGCACTTCTGAGGTACCATTTTTACACTAAAATACAGTTTGATGTTTGCTTTGCAAAGTCCATAAAGAAAAAGTACCGCTTTTTTCCGCCATTTCGTTTTTTATAGGTTTAAACCTAATGATATTTATACCCGAGCGCACTTGTGCACAAGGGTATTATAACTTTGTTCACATAAAGGTTGTTTGTAACAGGCAAAACGGGTCGAGATAGATACATATATACATAGATACATATATACACATCGAGGAGATTCTTTGCAGATCCACAAACAGCTTCCCGGATTACTGAATTAGATGAAAACTTGATTCACAAATTTAAAGTAGTGTTAGAAACAATTTCAAGCGGCCATATGATTGACGAGAAGAAGTTTGAGGTATATGCACACGAAACTGCTAAACTGCACGTGCAACTATACGGGTGGCACCCAATGTCACCTACTGTGCATAAAATTTTATTGCACATTCAATATTGCCGATTGGACAACTCTCAGAAGAAGCTGCTGAAGCAAGAAACAAGCACTTCAGGCTCTACAGGCAAAACTTTTCCCGGAAATGTTCAAGAGTTCAGTGTAATAGAGACATTTTGAACAGGCTTCTTTTAACATCGGACCAATTTATAAGCAGCAGTAGACCACAACCCCGTAAGAAGGGTAAGCCATTTTCTTCCGAAACGATAAGTCTTCTGCTTCCGGGAGCGCTAAATGAGCTATACGAAAGCAGTGATCAAGATGAAAATGAGGAATCGGGTTCTGATGCTTAATTTCTTAATTTTAATTTTACTTTATGTATTTAAAGTCTTATACTTAATACATCTTACAAGAAAATATTTTTTAATGTATTTATTTATATATGTGTATTTAAAATACCTATTTACACCAATGGATATGCAGGAAATGTGATTAGGTATTTCCATATGTGTGCCTATGGTATCTGATGCATTAATACGTCAGAACATGTTTCTAAAGTAAGTGTAACTATTCTTTTTTCTAATATAAATGTCTTATTATGATTAATTTCCGTGTTGTATTTAATTACTTTGCAGAAAACACACACCAAAAAATTTTGACCGGTTTTACCATGCAAATACTCCTCTGTGCGGCGCCTAATAAGAACTTTTGCGTTGGCCAATGTAAAAGAGCGTTTAAAAGCAAAAATTGTTTAATTCGAAGACGTAACCCTCCATTCTCACAATACATGGAT